CACCTTACATATATAGAATATCTGTTAGCATGCTTCTTGCTAGAATCTGCTTGAATGTGTTGGAAGCAGTATCAGGAAAAGTGTTTAAGTGATTGAATAAACACAAACCAGCAAACTGCAGCATTTTGGACATAGGGTCTCTGTACACCGTATATCCGACACTGCCAAATTGCTTTTTGCTTCCAATCAAAAAAGGGGGCTTATATAAACAAATATCTAAAACACTTCAAGTGTCAAATATTGAACTGAAAGTCCTGCTATTCTTACAGATAGAAAGTAAGTTAGGCACTGCTGTGGACACTTTTTATAGGCACATTTTCGACACCCTTCACAATTAATTTTGAAAAATAAATGAAAAAAATTCAAACAAAGTAACAATAAAACCATTACCATGCATGACACTGACAGTGTCTTGCACATTCCGTACTTGCTGAATGCTGTGGTACATCGTACATGCCAGTTTACAATGTTAAGAGAAAATAATCCTAAGAGTTTTCTATGTACTTGGTTTTCTGACCAAATATTTTTCTCCTTTTTCTCTGCTGTTTTTCAGAAGTTACCTCTCCCTGCCATCATTTTAGAGTCTTAACAACTATTCATTTTGTGAAAATACTTAATTTCTTTGAAAAAGGTTTTGTTCAAACTAGAAATAATACATTTCATAGGAGCTGGCAGGATGGCAGGAACAGAGTGAGAATGCACATCAAAATCTCTCTAAAGAATAAAAAATTAGGGGTTTTAGGTCCAAAAAGCTGTTAAGTGTCTCTTAAGTCTTGCTTTTGAAAGACCATGACTGTCATTTATTGTTCAGCCTTCTAACAAAATCCAACATATATTACTTCTTTGCAGTGTATGAGTTTAGAAGGCAAGATAAGGTAACAGAGCTTTTTCATTGCAAGTTCTGGAGACCAGAATCAATTTTTGTATTTACATTTATCCACTGTATGTTGAAACCATATCTCTAGATTGGGGTGGCTTTTTTTTCCCCCTGTTTCCAAGCATTAAAAACACCGTTGTTTGTAAGTGAAAAATCTGAAATTGCCTAATCATATAAAGTCTGAAATATTTTGGTAGTTTTTCAACTTCTGACTTTGGCCTTCTACCATACAACTTCATTGCTTTGGACAGAAATCAGAATTGATGGATATTTTAATTTATTCCAGCAGAATAAAATGAGAATTCTTCTTTAAATGCAGTTAAAATCCATAAGTTTTTGGAATTGGCCATACTTCCCTGATCAATGACTGTTTCCAAAGATGAAGGCAGACAGCCTCAAAATCTTACAAATTCAACTGAAAAAATAAAGATGAGCATTGCATGAAGTTGTCAGTGTGGTATTTTAAGCCTATTGAACATTTTGTCTTGCTCTAAAGTGACTGAAGGGAAAAAAAAAATTGTCATTCTGGGAGGCTGACACAGAACATGAGCCAGCCAAAAGAAAGGGCCAAGAAAGTGCAGTTACATGAGGAAAACCCCCACATTTCCCAGTGTTACCAGTCACACTGAAAGTTCCCTCACTGGAGCCAGGAAATAATTTTCCTTAGTCTTCCATCATGTGTTAGTAGAATACACTGCACAAAGAGTGCAGTGAATTACAGTTTCTTTGCTGCTTTGCTTCTCTGTGAAGAGCCTTATAGACACAGAACAGCATCGTTTATTAAGTCAGTACTGTACAAAAATTTCCAATATCCTAAGCCCACTTCATCAAACCAGTTGTTTTTTTTTCCAGTGGGCTTTCTCTTTAAAACATATATATATTTATTTTTTTTTTCTTTAGGAATATGTATGGGAAATGAACGTAGCACTTCAGAGAAATAAGAAATGATGATGGGTTACACCTATCTGTACTCCTTACCGCACACCTGCTTTTCAGTTTCTGGCTGTTTTCTGGCTGTTTCCAGCTCATTAATGTAAAGTCAGGTCTCATTCTTTGCGTTCTATGTAATTAATGTAAAGACAAGTGTCAGTGTGGGCAGTGGAAGAAGCAAGCTGGATTTCCTCTTCCCATCACAGCCACCCGGCTGTGCCCCACGATCCGCGTGACGCTCCCCGTGTGACGCCAGCACCGCGCACTGTGGCTAACAGGAGCCTGGCCACAGGCTGCCCAGGGGACACCTGGCTGCCACCACATGACCAAAAGTGAAGTGACAAAAGATGGGCGAGTGCTGAGCAGAGCTCGCAGCTTACCAGCACCAAGGGAGGACAGCCTCTCTCACTCCACATTTCCTTGCACCTGAGCCTGCAGTGAAGGGTGGCTGTTGCCCTGTCCTTTCCTCAGTCCCTTTCACCCTCTCCCTTGCAGTCTCACCAGAGCTTATCAGATGTTTTGCAGAGCTGTCTCAGTACAAGAATATCAGCAGATTTTTAAAAAATCCCAAACTATTCACTTTTTTCCTTTTTCAGCAAATTCATTTTCTGCTGCTTTCACATGCTGAAATGACTTGGCAAAGGACGTGACAAAGCATGACAAAGGACTGCAACAAGGGAGGGGCAGGAACAGAATGCCCAAGGAAAGGGAAGTGAAAGAAAACAGAGCTTTCCTCTTAAAAAAAAATCTATTATATAAAATTGAATATAAAAAGAAAAAGGGCAGAGAGTAGGACTGTAGGCAGCAGCTGGATTGGTCTAGGCTGCCACTGAACTTCAGGCTCAACCAGATGTATTCATGGAGGCATTCCATAGGATGCAAGAGCTGGCAAAGGACACAAGATATAGCTTAAAGACAGAAAAGGAAGGGAAAGCAGGCCCTTGCATCCCGTAGTGACGGGCTGTTAGATAAGCCAGCTCATCATGACTGTCCTGGGGTGGTAGTGCATCACACCCAAGTACTTTAAAAAGCATTGGCATCAATTTGTCTTTTTTTCATTGATTTTCTAGAATCTTTAAAAAAATATAGTTAAACTTGAAACCTCTTCTCTCTTTTCCATTCTGCTGAGCGAGTTTCAGCTTATTCTCTGTGAAGAGAAGTCCGACTGACACTTAAAACAATTGCCTAAGTCTGATCTCATAGGAAACAAAACAAAGAACACACCTACAAAGGGTCACACAGTTAAAAGGATGGTGTCAACTACAATTACTTTAATTAACTAATTAATGTAGTAAAAATGTTTTGATACTGTTCTTTAACTAGTATCTCCTGTTTAAAAAAATATCTCTTTTACAGGTTTTCTTTTTCCCTCCTATTTCCTGCTTGAGGCTATAGAAGGAACTGTACTTCTGGTTGACAAAACAATTGAAAATATGCTCCAGTTTATCTCATATACAACCTTTTTTGCCCCCCTCTGTGTATATTTCCTCGTGCCTCTTCCTTCTCTTCTCTGCTGCCTCAGTAAACACCCACTCACAGTACTGTGGGAAAGTAGGAACTTATGCTTTGCTGTGGAGTGCAAGAAAGTGACTCCATCCAGCTTATGTGGGAGCATGACACTCGTTTTGAGAAAAGCCTTCTTCATAATGTAGTTGTGGGCTGTTTCACTGTTTTGGACTACACATTTTGAGCATTTACAGAAGAATCATCCATTGCTGTCAGAACACATCCATGATGTCTTATACGGATTAACACAAAATACATAGAAGGTTTTCTGGAAGAATCAGGCAATTAGAGACTTCTGTGAATCCCAGAGTGGGGCTACCTGCATCATTAAACACTTAACTAGGCCGTCTCAAAATGGAGCTAACTACTTGTGAAAATCTCTCCATTGTCACATTCAGCATCATTAACGGGGAAGATTTAGTATTATATCATTGCTTTTCTCTTGAGCCTTTCTTTTCTTTCCCTTCTCTGCCTTCCACTTGGTTTTGTGAATATTTGAGACCTGCCCTCCCTGACTGTATATACTTTATCTCAGCTAACAGCACTGTTGGTCTGGGGTTTCATACCAACCCCTCTTTCCCACCTTCCTAACATAAAACAATGAGTAAAAAGAATAAGGAGGAACAGGTAATTTTACACCTCTCAGAGCTATTGTTTTTGGAAGAATAAGCCAGGACTGCTGCTCAGGGGTGCAGCACTGCAATGATTGAATTAATTTCAAATTTGGAAAGCCTGAGTTCCTTCCCTTCCCCCTCACGAAACAGGATAAAAAAATTAGTTCATTTACTTGGTAATTTATACTCTGTGGAATCTGAATATTCAATGAGCTCTGTATACAAAGGACTAGATATGACTCATGAATCATATGGCTGACAACACTGCAGTAGAGAAAGGAAGTCTGACAATCAACAGAAATGTGATACTGATCATACACAAATGTGGTCAGAGGCATAAAACAAAAACTTTTTTTTCTATTTTTGTTCATGTATTTACTATAGTGATCATTCTGATATTTCTGTGAACACTTAATTGGATGGACTTTGTTGAGAAGTGTGTGCCCAACTAGGTACGTGTTTATGGAAGCAGAGTTTTAGCAATTACTTCTGCTACTAGTACATCTTCTAATGGAAATCTGATTTTCATTTAATAAATGTATATTTCATATTGAAATCAACATAATGGCTCCCTTTTAAGAGTTCTCAGAAGTTTGTCTTCTTCAAATATGTCCATGTGGGTGTCATTAGACCTATTTCTATTTTTTCCTGTAAGATTTATTAACCTTAATTATTTTAACCAATAATTATCCTTTAAAAAATTCAGGAATTTATTATAAGTAAAGCTAGGGGATTATTCGTATGGTCAAAAGAATGTTTTGGCCAAGGTTCTGAGAATGATTGTAAATACTTAAGAACATATGCTTTTTAAACCATAATAGGAGAACGAGTTTATAAATCTGATTTTTTGTAGAGTTAGTTTAATCTAACTCTAGTGCTAATCTATTAGCATTCATCTAAATTAATTCTGATGAGCAAATGGCAGTCTGGAGTATAATTACATTTTAAACCAATAAAACTGTAACCAGCAAATCCAGGAAAACTATTCAGAATTCTACAGAAAATTATTCATGCAATAAATAATATGCAAAGATTAGTCTTGGAGGCATTCCGAATTGGTATGTTTTATTTGATTAAGAGAAGTGTAGGTACAGAATACCAGAGGGAATAAAACAGGAAAAAAAAAATTAACATTGAGATACAAACATAAATATTTATATGCAAAAATGATTAAGTGGGGTTTCATATAGAAGAATGAAGTCTTCTTCCAGGAGGACTGAGAGTCCTTCATGTAAACAGCATCAGCCCTTGATGCCTCAGAGATGATGAATACTTGGTAAAGTTGATGGCTGAATCTTCAGGTGGCTACTCAGAGCTGAGGACTAGGGACAGAGGACATCAACAGCAGAAAAGCCTGGCATTCACTGCCCATGGGAGAAACTGCAGGTGGATTTTTAGGGACTCAGAAGGAACACCTTGTGAGGGGAAATAATCTTTAAGAACTTGATTTTTTTTTTTCCACTTCTGAAGATAACTGCAATTAGGAAGATTTCTTCCACAGAGAAACTCTAACAAAAAGCAAATAACTGGTGGCCTGAAGGGGCAGCTCACGGGGATTTATGAGAACCCAATTTAACGTCCCTTTTTTTTGTGATTCTCTTCATCCAAGCCATCTGGCGCAGAGTAGCTTTTGGCACACAGGTCAAAGCTAGGGCTTTCCTAGCGGACTGGCTCCACTAAGAGAGCCCTAACTGGGCTGGCTTTCTTCACACTCAGAGCTTATTTTAGTGCAAAATCCATCCCACGCTGTTTTTATCTGCATGCCACAGCCCTGCCTGTCATGCATGATGCACAACGCTCAGCAATTGTCTGCTCTGACCGCAGTCCCTAACCACAGCATGTTGCTCACAACAAGCCTAGCGCACAGCCGTCACCTTTGTGCAGCCTACACTACAAACACACCCCACCTCCTGGCGTTCTGCTTTGCTTGCTGGCTGCTACTCTGCCTGCTCCTTGTGCAACAGCTCAAGAAATCATGACAGCATCCCAGGCCTCTCCTCAGCCTGCCTGAGCCAGATAAGCCAACTCCAGATATCACATCTCAATACCTTGGAAGAGCTTCTAGACTTATATGGAATACATTTTTTTTCAATAACTTCATCACTTATGAGGTTTTGCATCTTAAAGATTAACATTCCCTGTGGCACCATGTTATGGTCTGTATTTGGAACAGGCAGCAGATAATCAAAAGCTCTCTGCATGCCAGATGCCTGTCTCAGAGTTAGCACCTGCCATTCAGCAGGAACTGGAATTCTGGGCAGCCATGCATATTCAGGAGGCATCTAGTACAGATGAGCTTCAGCAAATCCAAGGGTCTGTTTTCAGTCAAGATCTTCAAAGCCATTTTCCACAGCTTATATCCCTATATAATCTTCAGCAACAGTGAAAATATTGATAGCTCTTGCCCAGTGTGGACTCCTCCATTGCAGAGAACAAAAGACAGGATTCACATTCCCACAGGATATGTCTATGCAGTTCTTACAACTACACCAAAGAGAAAAAATATCAGTCATTGTCAACTGTCTACTCTTCCAGAGTGGGTAGCTCTCTCTCCCCCACTGCAGAACCTCAGCTTCTGCAAAGCTGGAGAACTTGTGTTTATTTCAGGCATTGCTGTTTTTTTTTAATCTTGGATGAAGTGTCCATACCCAACCAACCTGCACACATGCTGTGTTGTGAAGGACTGTGCACTCAGCTTGTTGACTACGTGGACTGCCAGGATTCATGGAATGTCAATTTTGTAGATTCTGTGAGAATCCCTATGACTGGATACTTCCCACACCATCTCTGTATGCAGGGTTTGGTGAACCCTTCAATGTGGAATAGCCTGGTAAAATGATGTCTTTCAGTCTGTCTATATCTATCTCAGCAGTGCTGCTGCCTCTAGGGAATTCTAAGCCCTGGAATGGTAGGCAAATATGTGCTAGCAACAACACAGCCTCATAAGCACCCCCTGGATCTGCAGGGCAAGAAAGGAATTACTTTATTGAATGTTCATTCCAACCAGTGCTTACAGGGCATAATTGTTCTCTTCATCTCTTCATACATAACCAAAAAAATATACTCATTTCTTTCCTTCCTCTGCACCTCCTCAAGAAGACAAATACAAGTTTCCTCTCCATACAAAAAGACAAAAAAAAAAAAAAAAGAAACCAATCCTCCCACATCCTTTCCCACCTCCTTCCAAACTCATGAAAACCACCAGTTTATCTCTTCTCTCCACCAACCTATCGGAAGGATACAGCTCCCCATCTTCTTACACTTGGTAAGATTAGCTCCTCCCCTGCCTCTGAGGAGTTGGACTGCTCTTTTTGAAGGTCAGTGATCAGGCCTGTACCCTGAAAGGCTCACCCAAAAACAAAACCCAAACTCTTTTGGGCAGATCAGCTGTATCTCACTGCTTTGTTCCTTTGCTCCATATCCCTGCCAGATGTGGGAGGCAGCCCACATTCCCTACTGTCCCTCTCCAGGAGGCCAGCCATGGAGCTGAGATGAAGGAAGAAAACACTTGCCTTCAAACACTTCACTCAAAATGGATGGCAAGCAGAAAACTTTAAATTATAAAAACATGTTGTACAATACATGTAGATCTAAGTACTTCCCACAAGTAGAAAAACTCATCATAATTAACCCCCTTGAATTAAATAAACCCAGGTGCTTATGTCTTAAGTCTCCATCTAGTGTTGCTATGCAGAGACCACTTCAGAAAAGACTGGATTTTGCCACCATGGATAAGGGGTGCTCAGGCTGGAAGCTACTTGGGCTGGTTCTGTTGCTTGATGGACTGACAGAACCCACATGGCTCCTCCTTGGATGGGGTTCAAGAGGGTGAAAGTCGTTGTTAAAAGGGGAAGGTGCAAAACCAGATTTCGAATAAACACTTCATGGTATTTGACTAGCAGCCAAAGCCACCAGCAGTGCAGAAGAATGTCCTCTATAGTCACTCAAATTTCTTTCACCGGGACTGAGAGGACATCACTACTGCATGGTTTGAAGATAGAAATACATCTGGTGGGGAAATAACTCTCTCATGCTCGGTGAGGATTCAAACCAAGTTTTTGTTACAATGGCATACAATTTCCTGTTTTGAAGAAAAGGAAATCTTCACGTTTCCTTCAAAAGAGGAAGGAATTCACTGGAGTGACAAAAGAGGTTGTCTAGATCTTGAAAAATGCAATTAAAATAAAATCAAAGAGAAAAGGTGTGATTTCTAAAAATCATGAAAATAAGACTACTCTTTGAAAATGCTCTCTTTGAGAGAGCATACTCTTTTTTCGGTAATAATAAGAATGGGAATACTAATTTTTAATGGTAAGGATTTTGAATTTTGAATATTTCCACACTCTTTTGAGCTTTAATTAAAAGTTGGTACAATTTATAATTTTGTAAGTAAAAAAGCAAAGTTCCTTCCATGCTTAGGAATGCTATTGCTCTGTGTTATTCTTTATATAATAGACTATTTGAAATTAATTGTATCAGCGGAACACACTACATTGTTGCTTTAACATTTGGGAAAGCAAAATAAATTGTATTGACCAACAAAGATCTCCTTAAAATCTGAGACAGCTTAGCTCACTGGAAGAACACTGAGAAATTGTGCTTGTAGCTGCCACTGTTTTGGAAGGCCTACTGGATCCAGTGTTAGTGATGTACTGCTTGGAACGAACACAAATTAGATCACAACATACATCACAGGGGTCCATCATCTGCATGGCCAAATGCCACTTTTATGCCCTCCAAAAGCATTTGTTGTCAGATAATTTTATCTTGTCTTTGTCCACCCACATGTCACAACCCTGGTGTTTATAAAGTTCAGAATTATATTTTCTGTCAAAGATGAAATTAGGAAGGCTCTCTTCAGTTGCTGCTTCGTGTCTTCTTCATATCAGACAGAAATACCCTTTTTTGTCAGTTCAAGGGACTACAATTCTTCATCCACCTGAAGAGGAAGTGAGAAAAGAAAAGAGAGAGCAAGGGAGCTTTCCTCCACACCTGTAAGTTTCTGTGGCTTCTTCTAAGCTGAAAGCATTTTAAATGTCAGATGTTAATCAGGAACTCTAGGCTGCTTAGCAGCATCTGTGCCTCCTGGTTCTACCAAGTTGATCTTCCAGGTTCAGTTGATCTTTCATGTCTTCCAAGGACTCATATACTCTGTAACAGGGCAAACCATCAATGTTTGCCCACTGGGACATTACATTTAATAAAATCTGTGTGATAAACATCCATGCAACATACATACACGTGTACAAACTCCATATCCCCACGCACAGACAGAGCAATGACCCCATCTGACCTTCCAAACCTGTCAACTTTTCATGGGGCTGATAAAGCAACCTTGTGAGCTACCTCCTGACCCAATGGTTTATTATAAGATCAGAGCCATAGTTTAAACCAGGTATCAATCTTGCCATAAGCAACAATGCTCATACTTTCAGTTCAGTGAATGTGACAGAGTGTTCTTAAATGCAGTATTCCCATTTCTTTCTCTAGTCCTCTCATTTCTAGAGCACCAAAAGCGCCATCCAATGAACAGAGAAGGAGAGAAGAAGTCAGCTGTTAGCTTGAGGTTCTATTTTGGCTCTAAAATCAAAGACCTCTTTAAAGCCTAATAGAATGATAGACTCAAGTCTACCATTAATAGCATGCATGGCGCCAGCGTAATAAGAAATGGAAATACATTGCCCAAGAAGGATTTATGAAGTCCAGTAATTCATGTCAGAGTTTCCACAACATTGTGATTCTCAAAAAGTCTCAGGTCCAACTAACTAACAGTGCTCAGTTAGACATTGATCCTTTAATGAATGCATGCACTTTACTGATTTTATTTTGGCAAAGTTACAAGTGTGGAAGCAAGAGAGAGAGAGAAAGAAAAAGTGCAGTAAAATATTCAGCGATATTTCTAACCTGCTTTGTATGTAGTGTTTTTAAGATATTAATTTCATCTTTCCATCCTCTGGGATGAATGACTATGGAGCATGTAAATTTCTGAAAAAAATGCACAAATTTTAACATTGAGTTCAGCAGATTATATAAAAAATAGATATGAAGAAGCAAAAATCAGATTTAAGGATCATTTCAATAACAGGCTTTACTTCATATCCATAATACACATAATCTATAAAAATAATGCATAAAAAATATTAGTTAGCCTATTTTTGACCATTTGTGTCTCTGTAGTGCTATTCCAAGTGAGCCTACTGATTTTTTTTTAAACAGTGTACTTTTAGTTTTAATGGTTCAGCTCTTCTTCAATCATCAATAGGGAGCCTTGTTACCATGGTGACAGACAGATGGATTAATGCAATATTTAGGGAGATACATGAGTGCCAAATTTTGATATATATAGTAAGCTGTAATGTACTGCATACACAAGAGCTGCACACATGCAGAAAAATTCAGGAATGGTCTTCCATATGCACAGAGTGTCTTGACACAATATTCCCACTATCTTCTGCCAGAAAGTGGCCATCTATCTCCCACTTTATGCTCTTGAAAAATACCTATCCTGTTGGAGTCACAGACTCCAGCTGCTCTGGAAACTTAAACTCAGCATCTGATGAGGCCTGTTGGAAAGGGCCTGACATGTTGGCTGCATGTACTAGGCCATGAAGCTGCTGGTCATCAGAAAGTGACTGTTTATAATCCACTCCTTGAAATGCAGCCTGACATCTTCAGCTGACAGCTTTCCATTCGCCTGTTTACTTTATTCACTGCAGGTCTCAATAATGAGAAAGAAATGTGAGATATACAAAAATCTTTGGGTTTTTGCAGAGCACAAACAGATTGCATGTGGAGTAATCCTTCTTAAAACTTTCACACTTCCTTTACTTTTAAACCTTTAATGACCTGCACCTTCCTCACCCATCTCACTCCCTTCCCTAGAGCTGCTAATGAGCTTTCCTGTTTTCAAAGTATTAGATTAGCGGTTCATGTCTCGCAAACACCCTCAGACGGAGATGAAATTAATACAGGAAGAAAACGTGTGACAGTCATGCTATGAATTCCTGTCATTCAGACTGTGAATACCCTATGCTCATAGAACTAGGAAATTATGCTAGTTGCATAGCTTTATTTTTATTATATTTTGCTTTATTTGCTTGAATCATTCTGTCATTGCCAAATATCTTCAATGCAGAAACCTATCATAAGATGCTGAAAAGTCAAGTCATTTTAAAAGACAATTTGACCTGCCAAGTAAAATTCTGGCACAAACTTGGTGCTCTTAAAAATATTTTAGATGTGAAATCAGAAGTGCTTTATCCAGAGGACAATATTAATTTATGTAACAAGACTAATTTAATTAGAAATGTTTTCCATCCGTCTACACAGAATGATAATTATAATTCATCAGGAACCTAGCCTAATACCAGCTCTCCTTCCAGGCCTTTTTAAATTGTAATATTAAACTATACCAATTAAGCTCTGTGAATGACTGTGAAAAGGGCCTTTGGATATAATTGCACTGAGGCCAATTAGGAAAAATATACATCTCATATTCCTGACAATTAATTCTACAGTTGGCTTTCTCAGCAGGTGACATACTGCTAACACACACAAGTCAAATTTATAGTGGCCACCTCCCTACAATAAATGAAATGCTAGTCCAGTTTCTTCCTCTGCAGCACACACCACTGTTGCACGTCCCCAAACTGGTGTCACTGGCCATATGAGCATGGCCAGTGGCACAGGGTGGGCACAGCAGCGTTCCCACAGGCTCATGCCATGCAGCAGCTTCTAAGGGGCCCTCTGCTGCCTTACAGTAGTGCATGCCAAAAGCACATCCCTCCCACCCTGCAGCCACAATGGTGTGGGGTCTTCCATCACAGCCAAGCTTGAAATTGCCCTTGCCCATCAACGTATTCGTGGAGGAGTCAAACCAGACACCCAAGTCGGTGCAAATTCCTTCCCAAAGCAGGCTCAAGCTGTGTGCTCAGCTTTATCCTCATGAAGTCTTCCTTGAAAAGAAACTGTACAATCTCTCCAGGCATTCTGATCTCAGCCTGACTGTCTTTGTGGGAACCTGTTTGAGTCACCCAAAAAGTAATCTCCTAGAGCCACAGCAGGTAACACACAGAATGGACAACTCTGTCTATTGGACTGTCACTGAGAGAAACCTCCTTTGTCTTACCACAATTTTGGAAGTTTCTAGTTGTGGCCATGTGGGCCAGGAGCAGATTTTCTCTGTAGAAATCCTGCTCCCAAGCTGTCACCCAGCAGAACCTGGTCAGATGGTCTGGTGGTTCAGGATCCTGCTGCTAATCTCAGGTTGCAGCATTCCAGTAAGAGGGGCTGAGACACAAGTACCAGGCCATGCTCTAGTGACACCATGGAAATAGTAATTAATTTTTGCTGTTTCATTTTTTTAAAAATTCAATCAGAAATACTTTTTTTTTTTTTTTTCTGGACAACAGTAGAAGTCTTTCTAATATGGTACAGCAAAGTAACTATTAAAAGTTCTATGATGAAACACATACTAAGACCAATAAGATGTGGTACCCAGTGAAATTCAAAAACAACTTGTAAATATATTTGCTAGGTCACTAAAGACAGTAGGAATACTACAGGAATTGGGAAGGGATCTGTGATTTTCCTCTCTAGTAAACATGGGCAAAGACAAACAGATATAGGCATATTTTACTTGACAAGAGGGAGTATTATAAACACTGAGCAGGTAATAAAACATATAATTCAGTAAAGGATAAGAAGAGAAAACAAACAGATACAGACATATGAAAGAAGACCTTACTTAAGCATTCTCATCTCTGCAGCCCTACCTGAATTCTGTCCAAGGCATGTGACAGCCTTGATATGTTATCAACAGCTCTGAAATCTGTAGTGTGCCTCTGACCAGCCATAATGTCATCATCCCCAAATGCTAATTTGGGATTTATAACTGGAACTCTGGCCAGATTGCCAACAGGACTTTTGCCATTTACTGAAATGTGGCCAGGCTGTGGCCATAACAAACAATGCTGCTGTGGTGTCCCTGCAGCATGCCTGCACGCCCAGTCTTGTCCAAAGTTATGCCTCACATGCACTCCTGAATACCCAAACGTAGAAGTGAAATTAAGGAAGAGTGTTGCATATTCTGAAGAAGCAAACTGCAGTCTAGAGAAGTATCTCTGGGGCTGGGGTAGGTGGCTGGAAATCTGGAGATCCAGCTTCTCGGCCCCTGCCTTTGCTGGAGAACCACAGCAAAACCTTGTGCAAAATGATTAATCTCCTCACCACCTCCAAAACAAAAAGTACCCCTCCATAAGTGGGGGAAGCCAGCTCAACCAGTATTTTTTATGTGTCTTTTGATTCTCCAGTGCAAGGCTCTTCTTACAATTGTGAGTACATTTGACAAATGAGCACTGCCTTATGTCAGAATTTCTGTAATTAAAGTCTACACATCTTTATTCAGTGACCAGATTTTTGCTGTAGTGAGACAAGAGATCTGAGGACAGACTCTCAACATGGGAATTTCAGCCACCAGATCCTCAGGAGATACACAACAGTAACCAGCTAATTATAAAAACAGAGGTTTCTGCAGAAACCAAATCACAGCTGCAGAACACTTTAATTTCTTGTCCAATAGACTAGAAAATTGTTTGGAAATATGTAACTGTTTTCTTCATGCCCCTGCCTGCACACAGTGCTGATGCTGCATGGTGCTTTCAGGAATATCAAAGCTGCCATAAATAGAGGAAATGACCCCAGTGAGTCAGGCAGAGAATAAAGCTCAGCTCTCCTGAGAGCCAAAGGGCAGCTCAACTGCTGCATTTTTCTCTCTTTCCAGAACCAGTGTTCAGCTCTTTCCCAAGTTCTTTTACATAATCCAGTTCAGTTACTGAACATGTCAGTTTAACCAGTATTGAAATCAACCTCCTCTATGTTTTGAATTAGATTTTCAAACTCCAAACAGGATTCTGTGTCTCAGGTGACAACATAATTTTGCAGTGGCACTCAAGACTTTTGGCTAAATCAGACAGAAAACTTAGTGAACATAACGAATTACTGCCTTTAGTAAGTTCCAGCCAGCTTATCTGCTAGCTTCTTTGCCTCTGAATACCTAAATTAGAAGCTTGGTGCTCAAGTGGATCTCACTGTTAGTGGAGATGGCCAGGTACCACTGTGCAGTCCTGCACTGGAGAGGAAGGAGAGCAGCAGACACACAGGCCAGGACTGAAATATCTCACAGCATTACATTAAGAAGTTTGCACACTGGGGTTCTATTTCTTCATAGAGCTGCTTATTGGCAGCAATGCTGCGTGTTTGCACGCAGGGTTATAAAAATCTCTTAGGGAATATATTTATGCTAACTTGTGTCTTTGGTTTTATTTTAAAATTTATTTTCTTCCTTGTGCTCTTGCTTACCCTCCACACTCCTCCCTCGCCAATACTGTACAAAAATATGAACTCCCATAGGAGAGGCACCACATTACCAATTTTTTGTTAAAACCCAGGGGTTGTTATGAAATTCCTAACCATAACATCAGAATCACAAGAGCAGATTTACACATCCTTTGAAGTGGAACACATTGGTTCCCTCTCACTGTCTGCTTTTGGCTTACTAAGGTTTTTGTAATAAAAAGAAAAAAAAGCATTCTATTATATTCAATTATACAACAAGAAGAGATTAATACTGTAACCTAAATGAACACAATTCTGCTGAATATCTCTTGGGTATTTAAAGCAAGTAGAATTTACAACACTAAGAATTTTAAGTTATTCAGAGTGGATTTCATGGTCTTTATGCTCCACTTTCAGTCTCTGTGAAAGATTAAGAGAGACAGATCTGATCTGACTCTCTTAAATATAGATTCTTGGCATTGTTCAAACCAGGATTAAATAACACCATTATACCTTTCTCTTATCTTTCTTCTTGGTTCTGGAAAAATTTGAAAGAAAGTGATGTCTTGATTGATGTGAACTCAAAAAACTATCCTGAGAAGAAAATATAGGATTGTTAACATCAAAGACACAAAATAATACAATAGACACAATAACCTAATTCTCTCATAGTTCAAGGATTCCTCTATCAGATGCAGTGATGATCTTGACACCAATTACAATCAAAATTACATGCATGCTCCTGGTTTAGTTTTATACATTCTAATAAATTTAAATACTTTACATAAAAAGTAATTTCTTCTTCTCCCATTGTCACTCTGCAGTTTTGCTAAGATGTCCTTCCCTAAGCTTTTCCAGGAGGTTTTGTTATTATTTGTGGCAAAGTCCAATTCTATTCCAAAGCACAGACAGGATTTTGGGGTATTTTTTATGGGAAAAAGAAGACTAGAGGAAAGAAGGAGTAATTTGCCTGCTGTCCAGATTAGAAAAAAAATGAGTTAGTGATGGACTCTCTGTGTAAAATATTGTTTAATTTACACAGCACATGGACTATTAGGAAACAGCTTTGGATTGGTTTTTAGAAGTAACATGAACAGGAAGTTTCCCAAAATACTAATTTTTTTGCCTAGCAACCCAGTCCCTATAATTAGACCCTTAGATACATGCTATAAATTATGTTAAAAGATACAAAGCAGGAAGCTGGGGAAGAAACACTTGGTTTGGATTTATTTACATTCATTGTTTATTGTTCAAGTACTGATTGTTATAACTAAAAATACACTTTACCTGTCCATACTGAATCTTAAGTTAGTTCACTGTTTGATAAAGTGATAAAAATAGGTATCACATATGAATTTATATTCATCAGCAGCTGAGAATTAGGGTGGCACAAAGATGAAAAAACCCCAATTCTATGTTCTCGTAGCATGAAAAATATAACTAAAAATACACTTTACCTGTCCATACTGAATCTTAAGTTAGTTCACTGTTTGATAAAGTGATAAAAATAGGTATCACATATGAATTTATATTCATCAGCAGCTGAGAATTAGCACAAAGATGAAAAAAACCCCAATTCTATGTTCTCGTAGCGTGAAAAACGATTTACATAACTTGAAAGAACGACAATTTGGGACGAAAATACGTACTTTAAAGCAACACCGTTCTTCAAGAATTAAGAGTGTCTTCCAGCTTTATTTGGTAAAGTCCACTACGTGGTCTGTCCCCAGGACATAAAAAAACCCAAAAAACCCCAAAAAAACAAACAAACAAAAAAACCAAAAAAAAACAAAACAAAAAAAAAAGGAAAGCAAAGAATATAAATATTTTTTCATCATTATCAGGTGGAAAATGTCCCTAGTACTTTGCCTGACACTTGTTCTTTTTAACATATGTGTGAATGGTCTGTAAGTGGGTGAAGAGTAAGGTGATAAGGTCATGTGCTTCCTGAAAGATAACTGAATTTGGAATGGTTCCAGTGTAAGCAATGGCTATATAGGCTAGCCTATAATTATGCTGTAGGACTTCTTGCAACAGGATAAATGGGATCTCAATATTCTAAAAAAAAACAAAAAAAAAACCAAAAAAAAAAAAAAAAAAAAAAAAAAAAACAACCCAAAATCAAAACCCTTATGAGTGTGCTAAAAAAGACTCGATTTAAAAGAGGCTTTGACAACTTCTGCGCGATTTGGGCTCTCGGGATGCTGGACGCGCCCCGCGGCCAGGAGGCTCCTGCCAGGGCGGCGGCTCGGCCCGCGATGCCGCTGGGTCCCGGCCGGCGGCGCGGCCGCGCAGGGGAAGCGGGAGGCGAGGCGGCTGCGTGTGCCAGCCCAGCTCCCTTTCCTTCCGGGTTGCAGCCGCCTCCTCCTCCTCCTGCCGTGCCCTGGGCATGGGGGCGGCTGCCGGCGGGGCCGCCCATGAGGGGGCTGCGGCCGCAGCGCCGCTGGACCCCGGGCGCGGGCTGTCCCTGCCCCGGGGGGCTGGGAGCTCTGCGGCATCCCAGGACAAGCTCTTCTTGATCAAAGGTGCAGACATCCTTCCTCTCCTGTCCTCCTCCTCCCCCTGCACGCGTCAGGGACGAGCAGCAGCGTGTGCGGCAGGCCTGGGACCGTCCCCAGCCGTGCTCCCCTTGCCGCAGCCGCAGGTCTTGTCCCTCTCTCCCGCCCCTGAGGAAAAGGAGAGACGTTTGGGAACGGCCTCGCCGCGGCTTCTGGGCACAGCGAGGAAGCCCCTGCAGCGCCGGCCGCCCTTCCCCTCGCCCTTGGAGCGGCGGTGCCGCTCGCCCTTGAGCCGCGCTGCCCCGGCGCCGCGGGCCCGGCGCGCAGGCGGGCGGGACGGGCGGCGAGCGGAGCCGCTGCTGCCCGGCCCGGAGCTCAGCCCTGAGGGCTCCGCGCTGCCGGGCCCCAGGGGCAGGAGCACTGGGGAGAGGCGGCTCCTGCGGGCTCCAGGCAGCGCTGCGGATTCCCTAAGGGAAGGAGCCGGTGTCCCGGGCTGGATCCGAGCCGGGAGAACCGCGGCCAGGGCAGAGCCAGGGTCTCCGCAGGCGGCGGGCTGGCGGCGCTGTGCGGCTTTACGTTTGTGTTATATTGTCATTGTTATCCCTAACTCCGGGCTGCTCCCGGTGTCTGCTCGGTCTCCCCGCGCCCCCCGGCGGAACGGAGGCCGGGGCTCATCCCAGCGCCGGGATGAGCCCGGGGCTTCTCCCGGGCAGACCCGTCCAGGGGATGGACGTACCTCCGCCAATTATTGTGTCTGAAATTGGGGAAGTGTTGGCTACCTGACCTGGAAATGTAAAACTTAGTGGACTGCATCATTTGGCCGAGGTGCGAAGTCTTTGTGCTTCCGGGCAGAGGAGGCACCTTACAGATTTCACTGACACGAGTACAAAAAACTTCCTCATCACAGTAATCAGATCAATAGCTTTTTTAAAAGTGAGACCTAACTTAGCTGTATTTTTGCCTATTTCCTATTCAGACCATTTTGAAATTACCTAACTGGTGTTAGGAAAGGGGAAACAGAATGGGTATCAATACCTGCAAAGGAAGAATGTGTAACCCCCTGAAATGTTTAAATTTTAATATGATTCAGGTTGGTTTCTAAAGTGCAGTGAATCTTAATAACAAATTTTTTTCTTAAAAGTGGGCAGGTGTGGCTACATGTGCCTTTGGTGCAAGAGCTAGAAAGGATCAAGGGTACCTCAAGTGACTTTTGAAACACTGGAAGCACTGAAAAGCAAGGCATGCTTTCTTTCTTGGGATAGCTTTTGCTAGTGTAATTTTCTTTCTTTTATAAATGAAAATAATTCAGTTATTTTTAATTTTTTAAATAGAGCATTAAAACATAAAGCTGAAGAACAAGTGTTGCTTATGTAATGGTCTTCAGAGAAACTGGTGGTGGCCATTTGAAATCAGAAGTGATGCAAAAAAACCAATTACAGTTCCCATTTAGGGAAGGGTGAGGCATCACCGTAGAACAAGATGATTTTAGTAGGCTGGCTCTGGAATGAGTGGATTGTCAAAGTACTGCAAAAAAAAGCATCCTGGGATTTGAATTTTTGTGTGGCTTGAAAATACATACACATGCCATTATTTTCAAAATGTCTGTTTCACAGAACTAATTCTTTGTCTTGCTATTTTGTCGTACTGAGCTAGCATAAAAAATGTAGACAACTGGGCCTTTCACTTCAGCATGTGCTAACAGATCTTACATTTTCAGATTTTATTTTCTAAACAGGTAGGTTTTTTTTCTTCTCCTTAAGTAACAAAGTCTTGATTTTTATTTTTCAACTTTTCTCGGCAGGTGGAATTTTTCTAGGTACTGTTGCTACAGCAGGAATGATAGCAGGTTTTGGCACTACACTTGCAATGACAAAAAAGAAGAACCCAGACTGGTTCAATAAGGTTTGTTCTTTTAAGCCGTTTTCCAGTAGTGATGCACAGGAAATAAGAATGCATTGAATGCTTTATAGACATGCTGGTATACGTGGAACTTGGCGGAGTTGATGATAAGAGCACCAGATTTAATTGAATTCAGTACAGGCATAGGATTAATTTAAAAATCTTTTCAGAGTTGGCCCTGCTAAATACTTTAGTACTTGAGATTAGCTAAAATATGTAATGTGTACACTGTTTGCTGGAATCATACTTCTGGTTAGTAAAATACAGTTACTGATCTCTTTTAATTATCTGATGTGAGAACACCTTAGACATGAGCCTGCATCACCTCAGGGATCCAGTTCACCAAGCAGTCTCATAGTGCTGCAGTGAGTCTGGAAGTGAGGTGACTGCAGTAAGGATGGGAATGAGGAGGTAGAAGGTCTGTAAGCTGTGGAATGTGTAAGTGGGGTCATTTAGTCAAATTAAAGCTCTCCACTCCCATCTCACTGTGTAAAGAGAAGGATGAGAGTGAGTACTGTGGGACTGTGAGATCTCATGGCCAAAATGAATCTGAGCTCAGGCAATTACTAACTGGACCAAGTTGTGCATTCTGAAGAAAAGAACTGCAAAGCAGAGCTGGCAATTACACCATGTTGGTGTGTTAGCTTGAAACACAGCATGTTTAATTGAAGGACGCTTTTTTCCTCACTAATGCTTTGTTATTGCCAAAAGTGTAAAAAATAGGCCCTTAAAATTGATCAGTCTCATCTCCACCAAGCTTTTAAAATGCAACATGTATTACAGATGCTCTTAGGGAATTAAGAACTGATCAATTTTGTTTATTTTAAAAGCGATGATTCAATAACACATCAAGTTAATTCAATGCATATCAAGAGAAAAAAAATTCTTCCATTGTACTTTATCTAAGAACCTTCATTCCTGATCACTCGTAATCTCCCTTTCTGGTCAAAGAGCACGAGAGCCTTCATTTGCTTTCCTGCTTTCCTCTGTAGGCTGCTGTGTCATAACTCATCCATTGCCTTTACAGAAACGATAAGCATGAGTTTCTTTTTTGAAATAGACAAAATAGAAAAATTCATGAGAAGTTATTTCACAAGCTGTGGAAATACATCGCAATAAAGAAATTGTCTCCTTTTTTACCGTCTTCTGTTCTCTTGAGCACTGTATTTTTCCAGCTTGCATATATTCCTGGTGCCTGAGCTGTTCTGTTATCAGAGTGAAATTTATCAAGAGTGACATTGCATTGACATCTGAGAATATATATGCTAGAAATGTCATCAAGTGATCTATATGATTTTGATCTTTGCTGAAAACTGTATCTTTGCTATTTGTGCAAAGGAATTACAACAGTTTGCTAGAAAAAAATCTATGATTTCATGGGCCCCTTGACTTCAGTACTCCAGAGTGTACAAAGATACTTTTTTGTTAAGGTACTTGTCAGTGAGCAGTTTTAAAAAGGAAGGACTAGACTTTGAGAATGGCTTAGCTCTCTGTAGAAGCGCTCTGAGGTACCAATGAGGTTTTGCCTTAGCATTCTTACTTAAATTTATGGTTACTTACTGCAAGTAACTTTTAATAATACATCCTGTATAATAATAACTACAGAAGATTTCACCTTTTTTAGATGTTTAATGCCTGAATATTATTTTTATCCTTGTTAAGGTGAGGCCATAGTTTGAAAGGTACTTTAAGCCAACATCAGCCAGCACTGGTGTTGAAAGAATTAATTCTGCCAGCCTTAAGTTTCTGGCATTTTATTCCTGTTCCAGCGAAGCCACCAATACATGTGCCATTGGTGATATGGGTTGCTGATATGATCCTGGTTAATTGATGGGGTTTTTTTGTTAAACTTAAATGCTCAGCTGCAGCAGCCTCCTTTTGAGAAGTGTCCAGTTTTACCAGCATTTATCCAGGTGTTTAATTTCACAGTGGATTAGGTCACACAAAAGAGTGAACACACTGAATACAATCAACCAAAGCAGTTGACCACACTTTATTTTAGGCACTGCTTCCTTTTAGACACACTCTGCACACAAAGGGGCAGTTACACAATCAAGGCCTGTGTCTGAATAAAAAAGCAATGATTTTTTTCCTTCTCCCACTTCCTGTTTATATGTTCCAGAGGAAAACAAAACAACAGCAACCAACAAAATGAAAAAAGCAGCATATATTTGGAAAACAAATCTTTGGAAAACAAATCTGTTAATTCTGCCAAAGTTTTTTTTGGTGTATTTTTGGAAATACTCAATATTGTTTAAAAGCTCATTTTTTAAATAAAAGAATGGGTTTTTTTCAAAATACATAGGAGTAGTTGTGAGAAGAATTTGAACACAGGTTAGTGAATAAAATTCAATTCTCTTAATTTTTTTTTGT